TCTCTGTTTAGGGCCAAATAGCATGCTCTGTTTTTTGGTAAATTCTTTCCAATATGTCAAGTAATTATCTTTTAGTTTTCTCATGATTTGGTTGGGTCTAATTGTGTTGCTGTTGCTGTCGTGGGGCTCTGTGGGTTCTGTTTGTGAACAGATCCCCAGGACCAGCTTGCTTAGGGGACTCTTCTCCAGGTTAATCTCTCTGTAGGTGATGGCTTTGTTATGGAAGGTTTGGGAATTGCTTCCTTTTAGGTGGTTGTAGAATTTAACGTCTCTTTTCTGGATTTTGATAATTAGCGGGTATCGGCCTAAAGGGGCAATGGGTTCTATAACTGATTCAAGTATTTTTAGCCAGATCCTAATTGGGATGTCGAATTTTATGTTCCTTTTGATGGCGTAGAAGGCCCTTCTTGCCTTGTCTCTCAGATCGTTCACAGCTTTGTGGAAGTTACCTGTGGTGCTGATGTTTAGGCCGAGGTAGGTCTAGTTTTTTGTGTGCTCTAGGGCAATGGTGTCTAGATGGAATTTGTATTTATGGTCCTGGCAACTGGACCTTTTTTGGAACACCATTATTTTTGTCTTACTGAGATTTACTATCTCGTTTCTCTCTCTCTCTCTCTCTCTCTCTCTCTTCTCTCTTCTCTCTTTTCTCTTCTGCTTTTCTCTCTCTACCCTCTCTCTTTCTCTCCTCTCTCTGTTCTCTCTCTCTCTTCTCTCTCTCTTTGTCTCTCTCTCTGGTCTCCTTCTTCTTCTCTCTGTTCTCTCTTCTCTCTTCTCTCTCTCTCTTCTATGGCTCTTTTCTCTCTTGTTCTCTTCTCTGGTCTCTCTGTTTCGTTTCTCTCTCTCTCGTCTCTTCTCTCTCTGTTTCTCCCTCTCTGTTCTTCTCTCTGTTCTCTCTCTCTGTTCTCCTTATCTCTCTCTTGTTCTCTCTGTTCTCTCTTTTCTCTCTCTCTGTTCTCTTCTGTATTCTCTCTGTTCTCTACTCTGTTCGTCTCTCTCTCTGTTCTCTTCCCCTCTCTACTGGTTCTCCTCTCGTTTCTCTCTCTTTTCTCTCTCTGTGTTCATCTCTGTGTTTCTCATGGTTCTGTCTGTTTTATTCTCTTCATTTCTCTTCGTTCTCTCTTTTCTTCTACGTCTCTTGTTCGGGCGTTCTTCTCTGCTTCTGTTGGTCTCGTCCTCTGTGTTTCTCGTTCGTTCTCTGTTCTCTCGTTCTCTCTGCTCATCTGTTGTTCCTTCTCTCGTCTCGTTCCTCTGTTCTCTCTCTCCTGCTCTCTCTCTGCTCTCTCTCTGTTCTCTCTGTTCTCCCTCTCTCTCTGTTCTCTCTCTCTCTTTTCTCTTTTCTCTCTCTACCTGTATGTGAATGTATGTGTGTGTGTGCCGTGTGCGTTGTGTGTGTGTCCTCTGCACAGTACCCTAGCCATGCTGTGTAAGTATATACAGTTGGATAGTTCTGTCATAAGCCAGGGACGAAACCCCTTTGAATATCAAGCTGCACCACTCAACAACTTCACTACCTGTGTGTGTGTGTGTGTGACGGCTTCACTACCTGTGTGTGTGTGTGTGTGTGTGTGTGACAGCTTCACTACCTGTGTGTGTGTGTGTGTGTGTGACAGCTTCATTACCTGAGTGTGTGTTAGAGTGACTGCAGGGTAATGCCGCACACAGCCAATCACTGACAGAGGACACACACACATTCATACTCACACACATGCACGCACGCACACACACACACATTCAAACTCACACACATGCACGCATGCACGCACGCACACACACACACATTCAAACTCACACACACATGCATGCACGCTCACACACGCACACACACACACACACACACACACACACACACACACACACATTCAAACTCACACACATGCACGCACGCACGCACGCACACACACACACATTCAAACTCACACACACATGCATGCACGCTCACACACGCACACACACACACACACACACACACACATTCAAACTCACACACATGCACGCACGCACGCACGCACACACACACACATTCAAACTCACACACACATGCATGCACGCTCACACACGCACACACACACACACACACACACACACACACACACACACATTCAAACTCACACACGCACGCACGCACGCACACACACACACACATTCATACTCACACACACGTGCATGCACGCTCACACTCACACTCTCTCTCTCTCTCTCTCTCTCTCTCTCTCTCTCTCTCTCTCTCTCACTGAGAGCCAGACAGAGTCTTCTACACCTTAACAAGCTATCTTCAGAAAAAACGTCCTCCCTATCCCATTGTGGGTTTGTGGGCCGTCCCCCCGCCCCTCCTTACCCAGCCATCCTGTCTCTTGCACTGACCTGAGCAGCTCCCCAGGTGACATCACCTGTCCGTCACACCACCGTGAGCCTATTGTCTGGTCCCGTTCTGAATGTCTAATGAGGTTCCTGTCCAGCTTCCTGTCCACCTCAGAGAGACATGCTAATCTAATTAGCGGTGCAGAATATGTCAGCCACACATCATTCTGCTTAGTGTTCATTACCTCTGCATAAGCATAGTACTGCTCTGTGTGTGAGCACACACAGGCAGACGCACACACATACAGGGTTGAGATGAGTGTTGAGTTAGGTTACTCATTGTCCTTACACAGTGAGACTGTCTATGTAGCTGGACACATGACAGAAGTGTGCCTGCTTAGTGTGCGTCTGTGCCTGTGTGTAAGCCTATGTGTGAGAGGGAGGGGGTAGTTTGTCCTACAAACTCTCACGTCAGAATTAGACGTTTCTCAAACGTCAAATTTTGAAGTTGTTACAAATCTCACATTTCGAAGTGTTTAAGGTTAAATTTAGGCATTAACTCCAAATTCTTAAGTTTAGGCATTAACTCTGAATGGTTAAGGTAAGGGTTAAGGTTTGGGATAGGCTTAAAACAACTTTCTATTGCTGGATTTGAACATCAGAGGCAGATGCTTACACCCATCCACAATGCTCTAGCAAAACCAAAGCCTACTTGAAGGTAACAGCGCTCACTGTTGTCCCTAGTGGCTGGTTTCCACGTCATCTCCCGACGTCCTCAGACATGGATGGACGTCCAATACTGACTTGTATCACAGGTGACCTGCCTGAGTTTGTCAATGAAGGAGGAAGAGGGTAGCCTGTCAGGGAAGGAGGAAGAGGGTAGCCTGTCAGTGAAGGAGGCAGAGGGTAGCCTGTCAGGGAAGGAGGAAGAGGGTAGCCTGTCAGGGAAGGAGGAAGAGGGTAGCCTGTCAGGGAAGGAGGAAGAGGGTAGCCTGTCAGGGAAGGAGGAAGAGGGTAGCCTGTCAGGGAAGGAGGAAGAGGGTAGCCTGTCAGGGAAGGAAGCAGAGGGTAGCCTGTCAGGGAAGGAGGAAGAGGGTAGCCTGTCAGGGAAGGAGGCAGATGGTAGCCTGTCAGGGAAGGAGGAAGAGGGTAGCCTGTCAGGGAAGGAGGAAGAGGGTAGCCTGTCAGGGAAGGAGGAAGAGGGTAGCCTGTCAGTGAAGGAGGAAGATGGTAACCTGTCAGTGAAGGAGGCAGAGGGTAACCTGTCAATGAAGGAGGAAGAGGGTAGCCTGTCAGTGAAGGAGGAAGATGGTAACCTGTCAGTGAAGGAGGCAGAGGGTAACCTGTCAATGAAGGAGGAAGAGTGTAACTGGTGTTTTTATCAGCAGGGGGCACCATGCAGCGACAGGCTACCTGCCTAACCTCTGACCCCTGTCAGACAGGAGCGGGTCCCAGGGACGGGCTACCTGCCTAACATCTGACCCCTGTCAGACAGGAGCGGGTCCCAGGGACGGGCTACCTGCCTAACCTCTGACCCCTGTCAGACAGGAGCGGGTCCCAGGGACGGGCTACCTGCCTAACCTCTGACCCCTGTCAGACAGGAGCGGGTCCCAGGGACGGGCTACCTGCCTAACATCTGACCCCTGTCAGACAGGAGCGGGTCCATGGGGGATGCTGTGGGAGGGACCCCTGTCCCCTCCTGACAGTAGAGCTGTCCTATAGGTAGAAGCTGTCTCCTCAGAGACCCTATTACAGAAGCCTCACAGTGTCTTATACAGTGGCTGCAGCCAGTTAAAATGGTTCCTACTACTGGTGGTTAAGGCCAGTAAGTCTTACTTTCTAAGACATTAATATTTATTTGCCTGTTGTCATGACGATTCATTGTTCTATGTCATTTCCAGTATTATTTTGCCATATAAAGTGGTAGAACGTGACTAATTAATTTAGTGATGAGGATGGTTGAATACAACAACACTGCACTCTACTGGGCAGATGTAGACACACCGTTTGATCAAACCCAAAACGTAGTTTCCATCATTTGACAAGAACAGGATTAGTGTTGTAAAACCGAGAACATTCCCTTCTTTGCAACCACAATCAAGAACACTATCAAAAACACATTATAAATGACTTTATTTACAGTGCATGCATGAAGGTATCCTATATAATCCCAGGGACAAATATCTTTCAGATTTTTGGACTTTACAAATATTATTTAACAAAACTAGACAGACATAAACACATATATTCCCTCACCATCTTCTCTGGGAAAATGAAGTAAAAAAAACTGTTCTGACGGCAGAAAGACAAGGTAGTTATGGTGACAGTAGTTTTGAGAAATGGATGACAAAAAGCTGTGTGCAAGCCTTATTTCAAGATGAATGAGAGCAAACACAGTATTGGCTGAATCCCAAATGGTACCCTATGGCCTACATAGTGCACTACTTTTGACCAGAGCTCTACGGGGTGACATTTGGGATGCAGATATTGTGAGTTAGCATGTCCTGATTGGCGGTGATGTTCCTTTTGACCAGAGCCCTACGGGGTGACATTTGGGATGCAGATATTGTGAGTTAGCATGTCCTGATTGGCGGTGATGTTCCTATGGAGAGACAGACATGCTGAGAGTGTCTTCTTCCTGGTTGTGGTTAGGTCTGGTCGTATCAGGCAGAGACAGAGTTAGGGTCTCTTCCTGGTTGTGGTTAGGTCCTATCAGGCAGAGACAGAGCTATGGTCTCTTCCTGGTTGTGGTTAGGTCTGGTCCTATCAGGCAGAGACAGAGCTAGGGTCTCTTCCTGGTTGTGGTTAGGTCTGGTCCTATCAGGCAGAGACAGAGCTAGGGTCTCTTCCTGGTTGTGGTTAGGTCCTATCAGGCAGAGACAGAGCTAGGGTCTCTTCCTGGTTGTGGTTAGGTCTGGTCCTATCAGGCAGAGACAGAGCTAGGGTCTCTTCCTGGTTGTGGTTAGGTCTGGTCCTATCAGGCAGAGACAGAGCTAGGGTATCTTCCTGGTTGTGGTTAGGTCTGGTCCTGTCAGGCAGAGACAGAGCTAGTGTCTCTGGTGGTGAGGAGGCAGTTCCATATTTACTGCTGGGCTCCGGCTCTACAAACACACTGGAAAAAGACACACATACTATACAATTCAATTCAGCTGTACTGGACAAATAATTCCAATTCAGCTGCACTGGACAGAGAATGCCAATTCAGCTGCACTGGACAGAGAATGCCAATTCAGCTGCACTGGACAGAGAATGCCAATTCAGCTGCACTGGACAGAGAATGCCAATTCAGCTGCACTGGACAGAGAATGCCAATTCAGCTGCACTGGACAGAGAATGCCAATTCAGCTGCACTGGACAGAGAATTCCAATTCAGCTGCACTGGACATAGAATGCCAATTCAATTGCACTGGACAGAGAATGCCAATTCAACTGCACTGGACAGAGAATTCCAATTCCACTGCACTGGACAGAGAATGCCAATTCAACTGCACTGGACAGAGAATGCCAATTCAACTGCACTGGCAGAGAATGCCAATTCAACTGTACTGGACAGAGAATGCCAATTCAACTGCCCTGGACATCATATAATGTCCCTTTCGCCCTGCCTGTTAGGTTTGACTTTTACATACATTGTGCGTGTGTGTCTGATGTGGTGTGTATGTGTATGCACAGTGTGTGTGTGTGTGTGTGTGGGTGTGTGTGTGTTGTGTGTGGTGTGTGTGTGTGTGTGCAGTATGTGTGTGTGGTGTGTGTGGTGTGTGTGTGTGTGTGTGTGTGTGTGTGTGTGTGTTTGTGTGTGTGGTGTGTGTAGTGTGTGTGCGTGGTGTGGTGTGTGTGTGTGTGTGGTGATGTGTGTGTGTGGTGGTGTGCGTATGTGTGTGTGTGTGTGTGGTGGGTGTGTTGTGTGGTAGTGTGTGGTGGTTGTGTGTGCGAGTGTGTGTGTGTGTGTTGTGTGTGTGTGTGTGTGTGTGGTGTGTGTGTGGTGGTGTGTGGTGTGTGGTGGTGTGTGTGGTGGTGTGGTGTGGTGTGGTGGTGTGTTGTGTGTGTGTGTGTGTGGTGTGTGTGTGTTGTGTGTGCAGTATGTGTGTGTGTGTGTGTGTGTTGTGGTGTGTGTGTGGTGCGTGCGTGCGTGCGTTGCGTGGTGTGGTGTGGTGTGTGGTGTGTGGTGGTGGTTGCTGTGATGTGTGGTGTGTGTGTGTGTGTTTTGTGTGTGTGTGGTGTGTGTGTGTGTGTGTGTGTGCGTGCTTGTGAGGCCTACCTACCTAACAGAGTCGGAGTCCCAGGACTCCTTGCGGCTGGTCTCTAACAGGTCCTCCTGGGAGTTGAAGCGTCGCAGTTTGCAGCCGCAGCGCAGCACGGCCTGGGACACAGAGTAATGGCTTCTCCCTGAGGCGCAGGCCTCTATCTTGGACACCCCCAGGTCTGACTGCAGGAAGAGGTGCAGACAGCTGTCTGACAGAAGCAGATTACTCTCCAGGGTCCTGGGATGAAAGACCAATGGAACTCCGGTAATGTACCAACAGACCCATAAATACAAATGGATATTGATGGGTCTGTTGATTTGTTTAACATGAGTCAAATAGAAACTATTACACCGCCTATTGTTCACTACCGTCAGAAGAACAGAGGAAGCACAACCTAGTGCAGTCACGAGGAGGCATATGCTTGCCAAATGCTTGCCAATTCTTAAGTGTACGAAATGTTTTGTAGGCCTTTAACCCTTGAGTATAACTCTTGTTTTTCTAGTATTCTTTTATAAATTATTAGTATAATTTTTTTTTGTAAATGTGTTGTAATGTTTGTTATTCTGGTTTAATAAAGGTATAACCCAGAAGGACACTCACAGTTCAAGGAACTTCTGGAGGCCCTTCATCCTCTCTGTGATCTGCTGGGCGTTGTTCAGGCTGAAGAAAGGGTTCTTAGGAGGTAGTTCAGGTAGTTGGACCCTGGAAATGGAGACAACTCACAATGTAAACACACTTAAAGGGGTCATCTGGGATTGGTACATCCATTTTTGGACTGTTGAATTAATTATATATAGCCATATTTTTTTTATTTATATAAAATAATTGGCACCTTTTATAACAACTACTAGTTAGAGACACAAGACATGTGGATGTATTTTCAGTATGTACATTTGCTAAATCTTTTCCCAGCTATCTTAGGTCAATATACTATACATATAGAGTATGCCATCCTCCTATGAATACCCACATGAGTAGTGAGTTTGCCTGTAGCTTCTGCCGGAGCCATACGAACTCACTGTACCTTCTCCTCACACAGGAGATCTTCTTAGTGAAGCAGAGACTGTTGGTCTGAGGAGAGACAACAGCAGTTTAACACTGATATTCTATTATCTTTAACACTGATGTTCTATCATCCGTATGAACAGGCGGAGAGACATTAATCTAAAACTGACCCTTACCTTAACCATAACCTTAACCTAAATTTTACTAATTCGGAAATTCAAATAATGGTTTGCACATCAGCCACGTCCCCTTCGTTTTCCCCCCATTTTACATACTTACATGTATGCAGATTTCATAGTCCATGTGGGCATGCCAGAAGTCATTCTTCTGAATCCGCGGATCCCGAACCCAGACACTGATGAACTGCTGCATGGGGAGGAGAGGAGAGAGACTGAGGAGGAGAGGAGAGAGACTGAGGAGGAGAGGAGAGAGACTGAGGAGGAGAGGAGAGAGACTGAGGAGGAGAGGAGAGAGACTGAGCCACGCTTAACTAAACTGTGGATGAGAAGTGAGAATGTACGGTCTGATGCAAAGATGGAAGTTTTACGGGACAGAAATACAGGATGTGTAATCATTGACTCACTCCAACTCTACAGATGTAGGATCTTAATTTGATCACTATTTTGTTGCTGAGTATTGTCCATCGACAGCAGGAAATGCAAACTTGTAGTGTATTTTAGTTTTTAAAAGGCTTCTAAAGTTAGTAATTTCCACTTGATTTGCCCTAACAAAAAATGTATCAAGCCATACTAAACTGTCCATTAATTATAATCCACATAATAATTCACATTTCCTGTTGCTGCAGGATTATTTTCCTGCTGTAGAAAACTGGCTCAAATTAAGATCCTAAATCTGTATATCGGAAAACCCTGTGTCTTTTACAGGTTGGTCCAGTTTATGTTACCCTAGGGCAGAGTGAAAGCAGAAGTAGGACTGATCTCTCTCTTACACAATGTGATTTGGTGTTTACAGTCTGTTTTCAATAGGAACTAAACATCATTAGATGTGGAGTTTTTCTAACCACAGTTCAACCTACTGAAGCCTGAAGAGACACCCACACCGACCCTCACTGGGCAACATTACCTACAGTACTCTTACATGATCAACTGACAATGATATTTAAAATCTCAGACACCCATAAACTTCCCATGGAACTGATTGTTTAAAAAGACTCCAGTTCTACCTGGTACACAAGGTTGTCAATCACTTCTCTCATTCTCCAAGTTCAGATCTTTATCAGATCAAATCCACAGTGGACTGGGGAATGAATGAATGGTGTGCTCTGAGAGAAGAGCTGATCCATCTAGTCTTTATTATAGAAAAACAGGTATCCAAATAGTCACAGGACAGAGGATTGAGGAACACCTTGTGCTGCTTCCATAAACCTCTGATATAAAACATGTTATTGTGTACCATATAAGGTTACATAACTGAGACATTTCGTCTGTATTTGTTGTTGATCAGTTGGACCGTCTGACCTGGAAGTACCTAATAAAAGACCATACAGCCCTAGGATCAGGATCGTAACTACAACGGCCTTGATATAACCGTCGCTCTGTTCTCTAGTATGACAGTGTGTAGTGACCAGCACTGTCTTTGCCTCCTGACCTGGATGAGAATTGCAACGTCACTGTGTGTTTATATGTGACATTGCAATGCTCATTCTGCTGAGCTTCCTCGTTTGAATCACATTTCATAAAGTACTTAACCTGCAAGTCCCAGGTGTGCTGGTGTCCATCCATATAGTACATATAGAACAGTCTTTTCTCTATGGGTGTATCTCTTTCTCTTGTCATCAAATCTACTGAACAAAGTCTTAGTGTAGTTTATAAAGTAAGGCGCAATCCTCAATATTTGCTGCTGATGATATATTCCCATTAATTATTGAAGAATATAACTTCTAAATGCAGTCATGAGCTTTTAGTACAACTGATAACCCAAACTGGGATAGTCTTAGTCCGTTGTTTGTGTTTGTTGTCATTTGAGTCTTTGTTAATGCGAATGATCTGAAAAACAGGACAGTAAAGGCGCACAGGGTGATAGCTACCTTTATTCACAGACAGACACTTCACAGATAAAAAGGTCAACCGGTACAGTAACTTAGTCAGAGGCAGGCCAGAACAAAAGGTTAAACAGCTTGTCAGAGTCCCAAATGGCACCCCGTTCCCTATATAGTGACTACAAAGGAAATAGGGTTCCATTTGGGACGCGGCCATTGTCCGATAACATTCCAGTCATGGGAGAGGTGCACAATGCATACAGTGTCAGTCATTTTGTGTAGGGACTGGAGTTTGTCCTGAACATACAGTGGGGAGAACAAGTATTTGATACACTGCCGATTTTGCAGGTTTTCCTACTTACAAAGCATGTAGAGGTCTGTAATTTTTATCATAGGTACACTTCAACTGTGAGAGACGGAATCTAAATCCAGAAAATCACATTGTATGATTTTTAAGTAATTAATTTGCATTTTATTGCATGACATAAGTATTTGATACATCAGAAAAGCAGAATTTAATATTTGGTACAGAAACCTTTGTTTGCAATTACAGAGATCATATGTTTCCTGTAGGTTTGCACACACTGCAGCAGGGATTTTGGCCCACTCCTCCATACAGACCTTCTCCAGATCCTTCAGGTTTCGGGGCTGTCGCTGGGCAATACAGACTTTCAGCTCCCTCCAAAGATTTTCTATTGGGTTCAGGTCTGGTGACTGGCTAGGCCACTCCAGGACCTTGAGATGCTTCTTACAGAGCCACTCCTTAGTTGCCCTGGCTGTGTGTTTCGGGTCGTTGTCATGCTGGAAGACCCAGCCACGACCCATCTTCAATGCTCTTACTGAGGGAAGGAGGTTGTTGGCCAAGATCTCGCGATACATGGCCCCATTCATCCTCCTCTCAATACGGTGCAGTCGTCCTGTCCCCTTTGCAGAAAAGCATCCCCAAAGAATGATGTTTCCACCTCCATGCTTCACGGTTGGGATGGTGTTCTTGGGGTTGTACTCATCCTTCTTCTTCCTCCAAACACGGCGAGTGGAGTTTAGACCAAAAAGCTATATTTATGTCTCATCAGACCACATGACCTTCTCCCATTCCTCTTCTGGATCATCCAGATGGTCATTGGCAAACTTCAGACGGGCCTGGACATGCGCTGGCTTGAGCAGGGGGACCTTGCGTGCGCTGCAGGATTTTAATCCATGACGGCGTAGTGTGTTACTAATGGTTTTCTTTGAGACTGTGGTCCCAGCTCTCTTCAGGTCATTGACCAGGTCCTGCCGTGTAGTTCTGGGCTGATCCCTCACCTTCCTCATGATCATTGATGCCCCACGAGGTGAGATCTTGCATGGAGCCCCAGACCGAGGGTGATTGACCGTCATCTTGAACTTCTTCCATTTTCTAATAATTGCGCCAACAGTTGCTGCCTTCTCACCAAGCTGCTTGCCTGTTTTCCTGTAGCCCATCCCAGCCTTGTGCAGGTCTACAATTTTATCCCTGATGTCCTTACACAGCTCTCTGGTCTTGGCCATTGTGGAGAGGTTGGAGTCTGTTTGATTGAGTGTGTGGACAGGTGTCTTTTATACAGGTAACGAGTTCAAACAGGTGCAGTTAATACAGGTAATGAGTGGAGAACAGGAGGGCTTCTTAAAGAAAAACTAACAGGTCTGTGAGAGCTGGAATTCTTACTGGTTGGTAGGTGATCAAATACTTATGTCATGCATACAATGTGATTTTCTGGATTTTTGTTTTAGATTCCGTCTCTCACAGTTGAAGTGTACCTATGATAAAAATTACAGACCTCTACATGCTTTGTAAGTAGGAAAAACGGCAAAATCGGCAGTGTATCAAATACTTGTTCTCCCCACTGTATATGCACCATCAGGATAAACTATGGGCCCCTTAACAAAACAATGATTTATCAGTAACAAATACAGGTTGGTGGATAAATATTTGGTTAAGAGTAGCTGAGAACAAGTGGTGACTGGGTCAAATGAACATATTCACATCAGATACACTTTTTCATATGTGACGTCACATTTTGATCACACTGTAACTCATAAAATCTCCATGGTCAGTAATACAACCCTTGGTTTGGTTATACATTAAACAGCATACCATCTACTATCATCTTCTACATTAAACAGCATACCATCTACTATCATGTTCTACATTAAACAGCATACCATCTACTATCATCTTCTACATTAAACAGCATACCATCTACTATCATCTTCTACATTAAACAGCATACCATCTACTATCATCTTCTACATTAAACAGCATACCATCTACTATCATCTTCTACATTAAACAGCATACCATCTACTATCATTTTCAACATTAAACAGCATACCGTCTACTATCATGTTCTACATTAAACAGCATACCGTCTACTATAATGTTTTACATTAAACAGCATACCACCTACTATCATGTTCTACATTAAACAGCATACCATCTACTATCATGTTCTACATTAAACAGCATATCATCTACTATCATGTTCTACATTAAACAGCAAACCATCTACTATCATACAACACTTTTCTACATTTGTCAGTAAACTAAATGTAACACATTCATCAACTTTGAATCTCACACAAAAAAACGTACAATATCAAGGATTGTAGCAAAAACGAAATGGTGCAGATATCATATTAGGTGGACAGTAGTTATCTATTGAGTCTAATGCACATTGAACCCATTACTATACAAGATACGTGTCCTACTTAGTAAAACCATAGACATCTCACAGTGGAAGAGCCGGAGGGAGTGCCTTGTGGCCAAAGTGCAACAACGGCAGAAGATACAAGAAACTAAATCTAGCACTTAACTCCAATACAATCACATGGGTTTCTGCTACAACAGTAACAGTAGTCAAAGTCAACAGAACACAGTGTCCACAGTGATTCAGTCTGCTACAGTACATGAAGACACTGGGAAAGAAATGCTAAGGGTTCGTTTCAACTCTTTAAACGTAGTGTACGCACATCCGGTCACTTTTAAGTGCTGGATTTAAAAAATCAAGTCATGAAATCCAGAGAGATTCCCACACACTTTGTCAGGCTTTGACAAAGAGCTTCGGGTCGAAATGTTGCACAATAAACTGGGGGAGCATTCATCAGTTCATCAGGCAGTGTCTGCCTTCATTTCATTAGTTTCAACTCAATCAGAGCCATAGAGAGAGATATAAGTCTCTATGAATGGTTCTGAACTCCACCACACTCTGCACTACATCCCCAAAGGCATTGTGACCTCACACAGCACCACAGGAAGCAGGAAGAGGCCCAGCCAACCCTGTAGAGGGCTTTTACACCTGCCACGATGACTCAATCTACCTGCAGCAGGCCATCGTTTCACACACTGTGCCTTTAATGTCAGCTCAAGGAGGACCTTGGTTCGGTGGAGGAGAAATTAACCTTGGAGCTGCCTACAGATGCTTGTCAGTTCACCTCCATACTTGTGTACTCACATACACACACTCACAGCAGGCATGCACACACACACACAACACACACACACAACACACCCTTTACTGGTCCTCATCCCCAGAGTGCCAGGTGAGTTTCTCCTCGTAGAAGGCTACGACCACCTGAGGACACCTGGCGCTGGCCTCCCTAGCTGACAGCAGGGCCACCTCATCACAGTTCTTCCTGTACAGACACACAGGGATACAGGCCATTATTGGAATTATTATCCTGTCCCTATGACATATGATTACATAGATAATATACATGATATTACACATTACACATGTAAAGAGAGAGGGAGACTACAAGCTCATTATAAACAACAGAGGGGGGGGAGACAATGTCTACTTTTTTCTGTTTGTCAGAGTAAATCATTATAACTACTTTGGTGCTGTTGTACAACCAAAAGTATTTACCAGAAATGACTAGTAGGATTGAGGAATGTAACCTACACTAGTCTGTTGCTGCCTGGCATACAGTCAGGAAGACAAGAAGAACCAGTTGTGTGACACAGAGTTTTTATTTGGGCCAATTGGCTTTTAGAACATTCTAAATACAACAGACAACATCTGCCAACTTTGGAATGTTGGTGTTTGTTGGAGTTTGTTGTGGCAGTATGCAAGCGGTTAACTGTACCATTTGACGAGGAACATGAGCTCTCCGTGTCTGTCTGTGGAGCCGATGATGCGTTCAGGTTCCAGGGGGCAGGTGAGGGTGAGGTCAGTAGGAGATACAGACTCCTGGTCAGCTGGCTCCTGGAGGTCATTTTGTCTCTGCTTGCTGTACACCTGCTGGGAGGACAACACAACACAGCTGACCTGTCAGAGGGATCTCCTGTTGTGATCAGTTAGTGGAGCGTTATAACACAGCTGACCTGTCAGAGGGATCTCCTGTTGTGATCAGTTAGTGGAGCGTTATTACACAGCTGACCTGTCAGAGGATCTCCGTTGTGATGAGTTAGTGGAGCGTTATAACACAGCTGACCTTCAGAGGGATCTCCTGTTGTGATCAGTTAGTGGAGCGTTATAACCCAGCTGACCTGTCAGAGGGATCTCCTGTTGTGATCAGTTAGTGGAGCGTTATAACACAGCTGACCTGTCAGAGGGATCTCCTGTTGTGATCAGTTAGTGGAGCGTTATAACCCAGCTGACCTGTCAGAGGGATCTCCTGTTGTGATCAGTTAGTGGAGCGTTATAACCCAACTGACCTGTCAGAGGGATCTCCTGTTGTGATGAGTTGGTGGAGCGTTATAACCCAGCTGACCTGTCAGAGGGATCTCCTGTTGTGATGAGTTGGTGGAGCGTTATAACCCAGCTGACCTGTCAGAGGGATCTCCTGTTGTGATGAGTTGGTGGAGCGATATAACCCAACTGACCTGTCAGAGGGATCTCCTGTTGTGATCAGTTAGTGGAGCGTTATAACCCAGCTGACCTGTCAGAGGGATCTCCTGTTGTGATCAGTTAGTGGAGCGTTATAACCCAGCTGACCTGTCAGAGGGATCTCCTGTTGTGATGAGTTGGTGGAGCGTTATAACCCAACTGACCTGTCAGAGGGATCTCCTGTTGTGATCAGTTAGTGGAGCGTTATAACCCAGCTGACCTGTCAGAGGGATCTCCTGTTGTGATGAGTTGGTGGAGCGTTATAACCCAGCTGACCTGTCAGAGGGATCTCCTGTTGTGATGAGTTGGTGGAGCGTTATAACCCAGCTGACCTGTCAGAGGGATCTCCTGTTGTGATGAGTTGGTGGAGCGTTATAACCCAGCTGACCTGTCAGAGGGATCTCCTGTTGTGATGAGTTGGTGGAGCGTTATAACCCAGCTGACCTGTCAGAGGGATCTCCTGTTGTGATGAGTTGGTGGAGCATTATAACCCAGCTGACCTGTCAGAGGGATCTCCTGTTGTGATGAGTTGGTGGAGCGTTATAACCCAGCTGATGGTTTTTTCATCATTCTATAGAACTATGTGGAAGCTCAGTGCCAGTCGTGGAAAGTGGAAACATTGACTCCAAGGGGACAATGAAACATGTCTATATCTGGAACAGAATGTCTGGAACATGTGGATATCATTCTGGAATTAGAATGCCTCCTTCCTGGTTCTATTCCTATATCAGTCTGCTGAGGTAACTTTTCCACATTATTGTGGAGCTTTTATCATAATATAACAAATGTGCATTTTTGGGTACCGGTATTCTTATTCTATACCATGATCATATAGTAGTGGACCTACATACACACAATGATCTAGAGACCAGTCTTCTATTGAGATGAATAAACACAATGAGCTAGAGATCAGTCTTCTATTGAGATTAATAAACACAATGAGCTAGAGATCAGTCTTCTATTGAGATGAATAAACACAATGAGCTAGAGATCAGTCTTCTATTGAGATGAATAAACACAATGATCTAGAGACCAGTCTTCTATTGAGATGAATAAACACAATGAGCTAGAGATCAGTCTTCTATTGAGATGAATAAACACAATGAGCTAGAGATCAGTCTTCTATTGAGATGAATAAACACAATGAGCTAGAGATCAGTCTTCTATTGAGATTAATAAACACAATGAGCTAGAGATCAGTCTTCTATTGAGATTAATAAACACAATGAGCTAGAGACCAGTCTTCTATTGAGATTAATAAACACAATGAGCTAGAGATCAGTCTTCTATTGAGATTAATAAACACAATGAGCTAGAGATCAGTCTTCTATTGAGATGAATAAACACAATGAGCTAGAGATCAGTCTTCTATTGAGATTAATAAACACAATGAGCTAGAGATCAGTCTTCTATTGAGATTAATAAACACAATGAGCTAGAGATCAGTCTTCTATTGAGATTAATAAACACAATGAGCTAGAGATCAGTCTTCTATTGAGATTAATAAACAAGGATCTGATGTAGCCGACCTGTCTGTCATCCCAGACCTCAGTCACTCTGTCATCCCAGATCTCGGTCACTTTGTAATCCGAGATCTCAGTCACTCTCTCATCCCAGATCTCAGTCACTCTCTCATCCCAGATCTCAGTCACTCTGTCATCCCAGATCTCAGTCACTCACAATCTCAGTCTCTTGTTCTGCCAGTTCCTCTTTGGGGACTAGCTCTGGTTCCACCGGCCGTAGGTTCTCTTCCTCAACCTGATTCTCTCCAGACAAACAGAGGTTTCTCAGGAACTCTTCTATCAGTTCAGGACAGACCAAGTTGTCCTCCGGTTCCCAGGTGTTGTCAGCACTAGTGGCAGAGGCAGAAACAGTGTGAGTATGTCTATGTACAGCAAACGTCTAATATTAGCCATTGAAGACATGAATGGAATTCATAGACAACTCTTAATAACTAGTCTAGGATACACATTATACGTCCCAAATTGCCCCCTATTCCCTATATAGTGCACTAATGTGTAATTATTTTCAAAGAGTAGTGCGCTAGAGAATAGGGTGCCATTTGGGAGGAACCATGGTCTATCCAACTGTGTTGAAATGCTCTCCTTACTCAGTGAATCCTTTCCACTTCAGATAGTACTCTACTCTTCCATTGGAGACCCTTCTACGGATGATCTTCTCAACCACGAACTCCTGGACGACTGGGGGTGTTGTTGTTGTTGTTGTTGGTGATGGTGTTGTTAATGGTGGTGGTGTTATTACTGTTGTAGTTATTGTCTCTGTCTTCCTCTGTTTCACATTCTGCTTCTTTCTCATTCTAACCTGCAGGGGGGAAATATATACTTTAGTTAAGTGTAATTCAGAACAATATTATTCCGGGAAATGTAGTAGCCTATTGAATTGTGTATTGGTGAAGAGGCTATGGCTGTATTCACCCCTCATCATAAAGATTACGTTAAATCGTTCACGTAACGTTATTACAATGTAACGCGAGCACAATATCGAGGTCCAGACAGAATATCGTCGTCATTATCATCATCATCATCATGTGGTTACATTGTAACGTCTAGCAGCCTCCGGTAAACGGGTCATCGACAGATAGGCTAGCGCGTCGTCTTTCTACATTGAAATCGCGCGTTCTGTACACATCTACTGTTGGATACACATCTATTGCTATTTACTAGACAATTGTTTACCGCGGGTGCGCTGGTGAAATTACTAGAGGCTGCAACACTGCAGACAGCAGTCACTGACAAACATACACTAACTAGACGACTTACAGTAAATGTATCGTATGATGAACGCAAATGTAGACTAGACTACATGTCGAAGGATATTACTAATAAACACGTACGCTTTCAGTCCAACTTTGGCTGTGGCAGAAATACGCTACGCTGTAGCATACGCTGGAGCACGCCGATACAAAAACAATTTAAATGTATCCCGTCGTTCGTCAGATGCTTAACCAAATGCAACAATCTTCCAGTGTGTTTACAAAAACTTTTAATGAATGAGTTAAATAAAGATGGCCGGGTTGGGTGCTCGGAGGAAGTGGTTGCCAAGGGAAGAGGTCAAGTCACAAAAACCGGGAAGAGACAACGCGACATCCGCCAATCACAGACGGATCCGATTGTCTGCTCTGTCTACAGTGGGAACTCGCATGGGCTTACTACTGTGTAATGTAATAGTAGGATTTGGCTACATGCTATAATGATGATTGCTGATAGACGACGGGCATGAGGGACAGAAGTTGCCTACACTATTAAAATAAAGTGTTTTGTAACACTAACACTAGTGGGAACTGAGCTGCCACCAACGTTAAGGAGACGAAACCTTAACTTTGGTGACGTTTTGAAACACATGGGTGTAAGGTGTTATGAGACAGATTTAAGGTGTAGCCTACAGAAACATTCACCATAAGGTGTTCTGAAACATGACGTGGTGTGTTGTAACGCCACATAGTCATAGGAAGACCTTGCCAGAGACTGGGAGCACTAACCAGGTAAATAATGAAAACACTATTATGATGTTTCGAGTCCTGTTTCATGCAGAATTAGACCCCTTCTCTTTTGATGTCGTTTCCTCGATCTAAAGCTCCTAAACACTATCATTGTGTTTCGAATACTGTCTAGTGTACCATTGGAACCCTTCTTCTGGAGTTTCCAAATACTGTAAACGGGAGTCCCTCCTCATATTGTATATTCCCTGCTCTTATAATGTGTGTTGATAAACTCCTCATAGGTCATTCCTAAAGGTCAAATGTATGGTATTATGCTCAAACAAAGGAAATGAGAAAATATAGTTTTGTGAAAATACAAATTAATACGTTTGTCCAGGATAATAATTAATGACTACAAAATACATTTTTCAAGACATGATTTTGAAGCTTCAAACGCTTAATATTTTCTTAGCAAATGATCAAATGACAACAAAACATGAACTGGTCCTTAACATTTTAATACTGATAAAGTAAGACAGTTCAAAGATCTGTAAGTTATTTATCATAGTCATATTCTTCAAAATCAAGGGAAATATGGCATTGTATTTCACAAAAATACAGGCAGTGACTGCTAATGTTAGCAGTAGCACTCATAAAAAACTTGTACAAAACTTAATCCCAGGGCACAATGCGATCCACCAGTCATCCATTATGCTAATGTCTCTGACCTGAGTCTTTATATTCAGATGATGGTACATGGAAGTTGTTCAGATGGCTTGAATCACAGTACAGTTAAGTTAGATGTTATGATTGACAGTTGACAGTTCAGTTGGCATTAGTCTGTGAACCTTGTCTTGATTGGCTGTGGTTAGGATTGGCCAGCCGGTGGGTAACATAGTATGTATGTATGTTTTTCTGCATGGAAACCTAGCAATAGCAAATAATAACAAGCAATAATGATAGTACATTCATGCATTATTAAGTTATTAACTGCTTTAATATGAATAAATTGCAACATTAATATACAATTATTAAACATATCAATAGCAATATGCAAAATGCATATACATGAATGAAACTATGCAATTAGAGAAACAAGATAACAATATGAATGTCAAAAGTTGGATGCAATAACATGTGGCGTGGTAGGCAAGAACTAGAGCAGACTAAATTGGCAGTGGCTATATAGTGTAGCATACAGCATGTGAGGCAAGAATCGATCAAAATATAAAGCTCGCAAAGCTAGTAGGGAAACAAACCAGCAGTATTAACAAAAAAAAACAGGCCTTAATTTGCATAAAAAACAAGTGCACAAAAGGTGCAAACAATGACGTGTCCATTAACAACTAGATGTAGCATCAACAAAACTGATCAATGAATCAAAATGGCTGTTGGACTTGTACTGTAAGCATACAGTGACTATTACTGTAGCAACCAAAATTCTACACAAAACCAATGTTCTTGTTGAGTGAATTCCTTTTCTGTTTCCTTCTTCAATGTAACACAGTCACAATACCCATAAAACCTAGCAGTCAAATATTGAAATGGTTCCAATAGTTTTTCCACCATTTATTTTCCCCTCAAGGGGATTTTAGAAACACTTAAAATAAGGGCTGTGTTTCATGTAGGCTTACCCCGGCATGACGTTTTGATAACTGTTTAAATCTCTGTAGGACAATGTGATTTTTATCAATATAGTCGCCTGTATTCACCCCCCAAAAAAGTAATGCTAATTAGCTGCTAATGTGGCTATCATTAAGAACTACAAATGCCATGATGATCTGGACGAGACTGCCGAATCGAGGCAAAGGTAATAATCTCTGGATGTTAGCTAATGTTAGCTACATTTTGTAATTAATAAATTGGCTACATTTCTTTAAATTAACAATTCTGTGAACTGTCTTGTGCAAGTTTTCAATTGACACAATACCTGTTAGCAAAGGTGTCAGCTAGAGATGCAGGAGCTTGCAGGGATTTGTAGTCTTGCATGATGTCTACATTGACGCTAATTAGCATGTTCGAATCTGAGAGTAAATAGAGCCGAATATATTGATAAAAGTCACCTTGTCCGAGAGAGATTTACATGGTTATCAAAACATCACGCCAGGGTAAGCCTACACGAAATACAGCCCTTATTTTAAGTGTTTCTAATATTCTCTATGGGAAAAATGAATGGTGGAAAAGCGATTGGAACCATTTCCCTGTTTGACCGCTAGGTTTTATGGGTATTATGATACCTCCACTGTGGGGTTCTATAACATTTTGTGCTCACGTTGTCATTGACGCATACTTTTGGGATTGTTTTGGAGAGCTTTGCCTGAGCCTGGTGTGCTCTTTCCTGTCTGAGTTTCTGAAGAACCTGAACACAGCGGAGGTGCCCACAAACTTGCCTGCTTTTATACTTGACCATAGAGTTTGCTAGAGGGCACACCTGACACGAATGCCCTCTCTCCACCTCCATGCCCCAGACTGGGGGAATTCTGAACAGTACGGTAGCACAATGTTTGAAGTTCCAATTAGTTCTTTAATCTAAAAAAATATATTCTGATATGGGGTACAAGTTCCTCACTCTGTACGTGGCTGTGTGGTTGAGTGGGTAAAATTCAAAATATATTTGCCATCTTACTGCCCCATAAATTGGGCACTAAATTCCCGATTCTGTTTCTAATCTGTCTAAACAAAGCACAGAAAAAGCAAAAAGGTGGATTTGAGTTGATGAATTTTTTTTGGACTTACGTCCATGTTTTGTTAAGTCCACTTAGCTCAAGTCTTAATCGGGCCCCATGTGCTGAACTTAACAAGGGTGGTTCAGCACAACCATTTAGTCCTGAAGACTGGCTGACTGGAATAAGGCAGTGTTTTGACAAGCAGGATACCCAGGTTCACATCCACCTTCTCACATGAAGGCCTCTTTATATGTTACCTAATGTTACCCCTGCTATGACTTACATAGCCCTAAACATTTTGATTGTAAAATAATTTATATATATTATCACAATGGGCCTGGCAACCGTCGGCTATGATTACTGCCATTGTCTACCCTAGGAAAAGTATTACATTCCCAGTGTCTTCTTTAAAATGTTAATTGTCTGAAAATCATCATCAATCGGTATTGGTATTTCAAAATCATTTGCTTGTATGAGAGACACAGTCTGCCAAAACATGCTTTTTGTGTTTTGATGCTGCCTTTTAAATGCAGTGAATCGCCAACAATGGTTTTCACAAGGCTCTCTTAAAAACATCAATATTCAGATTGAAGAACCAGTTTGGGTGTTTCAGAGTATATTTAAATTCTGTTTAGAAACACATTCAGTGTATCAAAACACTTACATTGAGTTTACATTCAAACACCCCCCAAACACCAGATCTCAGTTTAGGTGCAGTTGTCATGGTTTCACTACACAATTATGGTGTTTTGAGTCTTGCTATTTTAACAGTGTATAATAAAGCATCAAATATGCAAGGATGTTTTAAGCCTTACCAAAATAGGCATATTCATATTTGGAATGGAGCCTATTTTGAAAAAAATGATCTTATTAGGGCCGACACTATTTTGAATTGGGTTCTTATTTTAGTTGATCTGGTAAAATGAAATAAATGTATCATCATTGACGAGAAATAGTCTAATCTCTAAATAGCCTAATTAATTTAGATTAACAAGGAATTGTCTATAAATGTGGAAAGGCTGACAGTAAAATAATATTTAAGCAGGCATAGTTGTGTCACAAAAAAAGTGTAGGCTATTATTTATTTATTTATTATTATCATTAATATTATTAAATACGTCTGACAATATATTAAATGGTTAACCTTTATTGAGCAAAGAGAATACCATTGGCAAAAGGCGTCTAAAACTAGATACTATATTTTTCACGGAGAGCATCTTTACTCGAAGACCCCAGAAGTCCTACTAAGCACTTTCCTGCGCAAGGCCTCCAAAAGCTTTGATTGACAGTTCTTCTTAAACCAATCAAAACGAAGGTGGGTACTGATTGGACAAATGAAGTGGAGACTCACATTGGCGACCACACGTCACTGTGTAACATTGTACCACTAGAGGACGCTGTCTGTTGTGGATTCAACCACCAGAGAGGAGAAACAAGCAGGGTGACATATTATACAGTATATATAAGGTATACACCTGATCATCCTTAAGGATGTGTTGAGAAGAGGTTTCTCACTCACTCGCACACACACACACACACACACACACACACACACACACAACAACACACACACACACACACACACACACACACACACACACACACACACACACACACACACACACTGAGAGTTTGCTGGCAGCCCTGTGACATTCTGACCCCTGATCCTGACCTTGGTAACAGGTATGTTCATGGTGCCTAGTTGTTGTACCTGTAGGAGCTGGAATAGGGCCTAGTTGTTGTAGCTGTGGGAGCTGGAATAGGGCCTAGTTGCTGTAGCTGTAGGAGCTGGAATAGGGCCTAGTTGTTGTAGCTGTAGGAGCTGGAATAGGGCCTAGTTGTTGTACCTGTAGGAGCTGGAATAGGGCCTAGTTGTTGTAGCTGTGGGATCTGGAATAAGGCCTAGTTGTTGTACCTGTAGGAGCTGGAATAGGGCCTAGTTTGTTGTAGCTTGTGGGAGCTGGGAATAGGGCCTAGTTGTTTGTAGCTGTGGGAGCTGGAATAGGGCCTAGGTTGTTGTAGCTGTGGGAGCTGGAATAGGGCCTAGTTGTTTGTAGCTGTGGGAGCTGGAATAGGGGCCTAGTTGTTGTACCTGTAGGAGCTGGAATAGGGCCTAGTTGTTGTACCTGTAGGAGCTGGAATAGGGCCTAGTTGTTGTAGCTGTAGGAGCTGGAATAGGGCCTAGTTGTTGTACCTGTAGGAGCTGGAATAGGGCCTAGTTGTTGTTGTTGTAGCTGTGGGAGCTGGAATAGGGCCTAGTTGTTGTATGTAGGAGCGGATAGGGCCTATTTTTTTACCTGTAGGAGGGAAAGGGGCCCCATTTTTGAGCTGTAAGCGGAATAGGGGCCCAGTTGTTGTACCTGTGGAGCGGAAATAGGGGCCCAGTTTTTAGTGGGGGGCGGAATAGGCCTAATTGTTTTTAGCTGGGGAGCTGGAATAGGGCCTATGTTGTACCCCGTAGGAGCTGGAAAAGGGCTAGTGTTTTAGCTGTAGGAGCGGGGAAGGGCCTAGTTTTTGTTTCCCGAGGGGCTGGGAAAAGGGCCTATTTGAGCTGGGGTGGGGAAAAGGGCCTAGGTTTTGTCCTGAGGAGCTGGAAAGGGCCTGTTGTTTTAGCTTGGGGGGGAATGGCAGTAGGGAAAGGAAAGAACAGAAAGGGTGGTCGTGCTGGCGGCACTGGATACCGGACCCATGTATGGGTTTTTTGTTTTCCCTGGTGGTTGTTGGGGAAGGGAAGGGGGGTTGGGTTTGGATTAGGGTAGGGTAAGGGGTTTGGGTTTGGGTTTTGGGTTGGGTAAAAAGGGGGGGGGGGTTTTGGGGTTTTTTTTTTGGGTAATTGGGTTGGGTTTAAGGGGTTTGGAGTTGGGTTTGGGAAAAGGTTGAGTTGGGTTTGGGGGAGGGGTTTGGGTTGGGTTAGGGGGGTTTTGGGTTGGGTTGGGTGGTTGGAGTTGGGGGGGGGTGGTTGGGTTGGGTTTGGGTGGTTGGGTTTGGGGTTGGGGGGGTTGGATTGGGGGGGGTGGGGGGGGGTTTGGGGTTGGGTGGGTTGGGTTGGGGTTGGGTGGGTTGGGTTGGGTTGGGTAAGGGTTTTTTGGGTTTTTGGGGGGGTTTTTTTGGGTTAGGGGGGTTGGGTTGGGTTGGTGGGGTTGGGTTGGGTTGGGGGGTTGGGGTTTGGGGGGGGGGTTGGGTTGGGGTTGGGTGGGGTTAGTTGGGTTTGGGGGGGTTGGGTTGGGTTGGTGGGTTTGGGTTGGGTTGGAAAAGGGTGGGTTGGGTTGGGTGGGTTTGGGTTGGGGTTGGGTGGGTTTGGGTTGGGTTTGGGGTTGGTTGGGTGGGGGGTTTTGGGTGGGTTGGGTGGGGTTGGGTTGGGTTGGGAAAAGGGTTTGGGTTGGGGGTAAAAGGGTTTGGGTTTGGGGTTGGGGGGGTTGGGTTGGGTTTGGGGGGTTGGGTTGGGTTGGGTGGGTTTGGGTTTTGGGGGGGTGGTTGGGTTGGGGGGGGTGGGGGGGTGGTTGGGTTGGGTTGGGTTTTGGGTTGGGTAAAAGGTTTTGGGTTGGGTTTTTGGGTGGGTTGGGTTGGGTTGGGTGGGTTGGGTTGGGTTGGGGGGGTTTGGGGGTTGGGTTGGGTGGGGTTTGGGTTGGGTTGGGTGGGTTTTGGGTTGGGTTGGGTAAGGGGGGGGGGGTTGGGTTAGGGGGTTTGGGTTGGGTTTGGGTGGTTTGGGTTTTTGGGGTTGGGTGGGTTGGTTGGGTTGGGGGGGGGTTGGGTTGGGGGGGTTGGGTTGGGTGGGTGGGTTGGGTTGGGGGTTGGGAAGGTTGGGTTGGGTTGGGTGGGTTGGATTGGGGTTGGGGGGGGTTGGTTGGGTTTGGGTGGGTTTGGGTTGGGGGGTGGGGGTTGGGTTTGGGGTTTGGGGGGGGGTTGGGTTGGGGGGTTGGGGTGGGTTAGGGTAAAGGGGTTGGGGTTTGGGGTTAGGGAAGGGGTTTTGGGGTAAGTTGGGTTGTAAAATTGGAGGGGAGGGAAATCAAGCAAATAAGGGAATAAACCGTTGGTAAGGGGAAAAAATACGCCGATTGACTAATGACTACAAAACTTTCCTGATTGACAAAGACAACAATACTGTTCCTGACTGACTTTAATGACTACAAAAATTTAAAAGTTCCCGATTGACTAATGACATACAATACGTTTAAACCCACCCAGAGCAAAGGGAGGGCCTTTTGTAAAACCAAAACGCAAAAAAAACCACAAAAAAACCAAAAAAAAAATAAAAATAAAAAAAAAAAGGGGGAAAAATCTTTGGTTTAAATAAATAAAAAAATCAAATATCTGAGACTGAGTTTATACTCGGATGACTAAAAGGTTTGCACCCACAGCCCAGCGGACCCATGCCTAGACTAACCGAGAACGTTTTGGGGGTGGAGGTTGGGGGGGGGCTGGGGGGCCCGGATGTGAAAAGGAAAGAAAAGCTCACTGAAAGGCTCTGATAAAAATAAAAAAGTTTTTTTTCAGCTAAAAAGCCTTCATCAGCCCCGTCAGACTACCACCTGCACCCCGCCCGGAGACACCAAGGCACTCTGCACCCCCAAAAGAGACACCACAGAGCCATCTGCACCAGCCAGAGAGACACCACAGCCACTCTGCACCCCCCCAGAGAACACCAAGAGCCCCTCTGCACCCGCCAGGGACACCACAGACCACGCACCCACCAAGAGACACCACAAGCCCCCCTCACCCTCTTGAGCCCCACAGAGCCCTCTGCACCCCCAGAGAACCCACAGGCCCTCTGCACCCCGCCGAGAGACCCACAGAGCCACCCACCCGCCAAGAAATCACAGGCCACTCGCACCCAGCCAGGAGACCCACAACCACCTGACTCAGCCAAAGGGGCACCACAAGCCACTTGAACCCCGTCTGTGACCACCACAAAGCCACTCTGCACCCAGTCTGGAGCCACACAAGGCCCCTTGCACCAGCCAGAGAGACCACCCAAAACCCCCACACCCACCAGAAGACCCCCACGAGCCACTCTGCACTCACCAAGAGACACCAAGAGCCACTTGACTCAGCCAGAGAACACCCAGAGCCCCTTGACCCAGCCAGAGAGAAACCCCCCAAAAGCCACTCTGGGGACCCAGTCTGGACCACCACAAGCCCTCTGCACTCAGCCAGGAGGGGCACCCCCCCGACCCTCTGCACCCACCAGAGAGACACCACGAGCCACTCGCACTCAGCCAAGAGACACCACAGAGCCCCTCTGCACCAGCCAGAGAGACACCACCGAGCCAATCTGCCCCCATCGTGACCACCCCGGGCCACTCTGCATCAAGGAGAACCCCCAAGCCCTTGCACCCAGTCGGGGGGCCCCACAAACCCCTTGCACCCAGCCAAGAGACACCACAGACCCTCGACCCATCTGTGAGCCACCCCCGGCCATCTGCCCTCACCGAGAGACCCCAAAGCCACTTGCACCCGTTGTGAGCCACCACAGAGCCGCTCTGCCCCAGTTTTTTAGCCCCCACAGAGCCCCTTGCACTTTAGCCAGGAACCCCACGAGCCCTCTGCACCCCGTCTTGACCACCACAACCACCGCACCCAGTTTAGTACCACAGAGCCACTTGACCCGTTGTGAGCCACCACAGACCCCCCGCACCCGCCAGAGAACACCCCAGGCCATCACACCCAGCTTTAGCCCCCAAGAGCCCTCTGAAAATCGCCAGAGAGACACCACGAGCCATTCTGACCCAGGTGAGCCCCCCAAGCCGTTGCACCCCTTTGTTTAGCCACCACAGAGCACTCTGCACTCAGCCGGAGCCCCAAGGCCACTCTGCCCCCCAGTCTGGAGCCCCCACAGAGCCCGCCTAGACTAACCTGGAACGTTTGGGGGGGTGGAGAGTTTGGGGGGGAGCTAGGGGGCCCGGAGTGAAAAGGAAAGAAAGCACAGACTGTAAAGGCTCTGATAAAATAAAAAAAGTTTTGACAGCTAAAGCCTTTATCAGCCCAGTCAGACCACCACTCTCACCCGCCAGAGAGACCCACGGCCACTCTGCACCCCCCCAGAGAGACACCCCAAAAGCCACTCGCACCCCCCAGAGAAGAACAAACAGAGCCACTCTGCACCCCGCCAGAGAGACACCACAGAGCCCCTGCACCAGCCAGAGAGACACCACAGGCCTCTGCATCCAGTCTGTGGCACCCCAAAACCACTCCACCCCGTGTGAGACACCCCAAAGCCACTCGCCCCAGCCAGAGAGACACCACAGCCCTCTCACTCAGCCAAGAGCCCCAAGAGCCACTCTGCATCAGCCCGAGGAAAACCCCAGAGCCACTCTGCACCCAGCCAAGAGCCCCAAGACCACTCGCCCCCAGTCTGTGAGCCACCACAGCCCCCTGCACCA